GACGATTTGGCACCGTCTACGCCAAATAGAAAGCCACGGAGGAGTTCGCCGGTCCCAGAGAACCGCGCGCGAACAAAAAAAAGCGTAAAACATTCGAGAGGAGAGGAAGGCGAGACGAAGAAGCGGAAAAGGAGAAAGAAGAGAGCGAAGAGAAGTCGCGGTCGGAGGGTCGGTGCGCGCGCGATAATCCATTTGCTCCTTTCGTAGACCAACGGGACAAGGCATTCTATTTATATCCGCGAGAAACTTGCGCCTAATGTGTAGACCAGTATTGTGCAACTTGCATCGCTTTCCATAAGGTGTTTTATTGTGTCTGGCCGTTGGAAGAAAGAAATAAAAATGACGAAAAATAGCGATCATTTTAATATCGTCACTTATTATTATTTGCGGAATTAATATGAAAAATAAAATAGTGTTAAGTCGAAAAGCTAAATATTATTTTTCAATACGTTATAATTGAGGATTTCAAGGATACATATTGTTAAAATATTTAATATTAGAAAAAATTAATATTTATATTTAATATTAAAAAATTTTTAAATGGTATATACTTGAAAGTTTATCAATTTTTTTTTATTAAAAAGGAAAAAAGTGTCCACAAGGCTTTTTAAAAAATTTTGAAGAAATTTTTACCGGTAATAATAAAATATAGTACTGTGAACGTGATGGTATAACAAGAGGAAAAAAAAGAATAAAGACGAATTGTAGCCCCAAGTGAAAAATCGCCCTCGCGTACAAACAATCCATTCATTTAACAATACACGATTCGCGTTGCATTCAAGGCCGTTACATTGCGGATCAAAGAGCTTCCACAGCACAGAGCTGCCTCGTGAAGAGTTGATCGTTTCGCCAAAGGGCGAGCACTTTAAAATAATCTATATCTTCTGTGCTTGCAATCACTCATAGATTTCCTTTAAAAATTAGCATTCATGCTGTTACTCTGTAACTCGAGGCTGTTAAAATATATCATGGTATAATGGCAATTATAATATAAAAATGTTTCGTGTAAAAAAAATCGAAAGATATATGCAAGAAAAATCGCGTCAACTTCTTCCTCTTACCAGTGACATTTTAAATGATTAAAATATTGATGAAAATTCTCCTATAAAAAGCGCAATGTAAAATACTAACTGCAATACTCGGTCGAAAATCGCGGAAGACGCATTTTTCATATGAACATATTTTATTTTTCATATTAATTTCGTAACAAAAAATGACGATATTAAAATAAGCACTATTTTTCATTATTTATATAATATTCTCCTAGAATCAGACACACGATGAAACACTTATGGAAAGCGATGCGAGTTTCAATAAAACCGCGCGGGATTCGCGCTGTTTTCCAACGTCCCCGGATCTCGTTCTTCAGCGCGATAAGATAGAATCGAGAGATACGATATATGGCGCGATATCATTCGTGGAAGTTGCGTTCTTCGAGGGATTTGAATATCGAATTTATCGAATGCATACGCCGATATTTTACCGCGGCTATCGGTTTTGTCGACCTCGCTCGCTCGCTCGAGAAAGAGAAACGAGCCGACCAGCATCCACAGCAGAAGCGAGAGAAGCGAAATAGAAAGAGAGGTACAACTTGCACCTGCTGGCCGGCTATAGAAGTGGCTTTCCACTAAACTATACGTCATTTCGAACTCGACCCTTATCAATTAAAAGTCGCCGATCCTTACATCAGATAATTTAAACTACAAAATTACGACAAAATGGGAAGATAAATGAAGCTGCTCGCGCAATTTGTATTCGAATGAATTGAGTGGAAAAATATGACATAAACTCTGTTATTCGTTCAATACAGCTGGTATCGCCTGACGTAAGAAACTTTTCAAAAATATGATGTATTTGCGCTGCTTTGACTAAGTTTTTGATCTTGACAGCTGAGATATTACATTCTCCGCGGTTTATATATGTGATAGTTTCATTGGTAAAAGAAGTTATTTCAGGGACACAAACTGCAGGAAATTTTTCTCCGATCGTTTCCGGTGTCGCAATTTCCGGCTCGAATGGCTTGCGTTGTAAACTTTAAGAAGAAAACAAGCTAGAAACAGGCAGCTCGCGTAAAAATTTCATACGTAAGCTTTATCCATGGGGAGAGTTTCAGTATTCTTGTTATATCATAGCGAAAAAATTTATAATTCTGCTGCTCGACGCGTGACAAATGTAACTGTGATCGGGAACCGCGACGGTCGCACTCGAGACGGCTGTTTGTAGAAAGTGGAAGCGAATTGCAAATGTTAGCACAATTGGTTGCGGCGACGTATTCGTTGCGGAAAATAGAGAAACGCGTGCGAGACGAATATTAAAATATCGCGTATAGCTCGATATACAATGCTCGTACATGGCAATTTTTCTTCAATATTCTCGAGAATCGGATATTCATAACCGGTTGATGTACAGATAGAATTACATAACACGAGCATAAGACACTGGACACTAGAAGTAAATGTTGATAACATTTTAATATCAATATTATTCAAGTGTAATATTTTTCTTTATTCAAGCACTGACGTTCGAGTTACAAGATTGCTCTCATATTGCAAGATATTTTACATAAAAAAAAAATGAATGATAATCATTTTATTACAATGACAATCCGACAAATGCGTTATTTTACTCATCAGGAAAATGCATAAATTTTGATATGCTGTCATCTTGAAACGCGAAGCGTATTTTCGAGCGATTGCGTCATCGATTCGAAACAACTCGCGAGGAGATCGAATCTATCTTCAAGAAGGAAGTCGCTAGTTATTGATGAAATACGGAAAATACTTTTATCGTAGTCATAATTATCAACCTCTTAAAGCCGCTTGACATGACATGTAGATACATACTATGCAATCATTGTCACGCTTATCTCCAAATTGTAAACAAAAGACATTTATAGATTACAGAAATAATACAAGCATACGTGTATCAATAACCAAGTTTCATTATTCAATGTCATCGGCTCAAACGTGACTAGACGTGGATAAGCGAAATTAAATATGGTACGAGCTACGATTCTTTTTCGAACAAAGATAAGAACGCAACAAACTCACAAAAGATCAAAGGGATCAAGAATCTCTTGATTGCGAGTTTCCAATCAAACTACGGCGTGTGAAAGTAATCGCGACGTGAAACGGCTCCAAAAGGGATCGACGAGAAATTTCATTACAGGTCGAGGAAAAACTCGATATTTTAATCAGACAATGTCAGAATACGTTTCGCATTCGACGCGAATTCGGTGAATGCGGCGTGATTTTCTTTCTAGAGATAACATTTGTTTAGAAACACAATATCTTCATGATACGGACAGCAAACACAGTCTTGACATTCATATCTTGCCTTCGAAATACCTACGTATATGAACAAAGCCATCAAATTTACGGAAAGTAAATGAATTTTAAATACGATCAAATATCTTGCAAAGATAATTATATCTAGTACACTATAATTCTTAATTAATTATATACATACATAATTTATAAGTTATTTGCATTAAAAGTTTCTTCGATTAATTGCGTGGCGATATATTTCTCTCTTGAGTATCGTGTCAATATTTTTAACGAAAGTAATATCTACGCGTGCAATGTATCGAATATAAATACATATTGACGATCCATTAAATCGGAGCATCCCCATGTACTTACATCTGATTGCTCGTCAATCGCGATAACGGGGCGAGTTACTCGATTAAATTTACGTAGCAAAATTGTGCAAAATTATTTTCGATATTTTTCTTTTCACTGCTTCGTTAACAACCAATTTCGATCTAGCACTGAAAAAGATCGCACTCGAATCGAGTCGCATGTGCAATCCGAAACTAGCGTCGCAATTTCGGAATATTTAAAGGTGATTTATGCGCCTTCAACACCTGACAAATGTCGTAAAAGTTTGAGAAAACAACGCGGAAAACTTTACACAACGCGACAATTCCACGCTGCTATCGTAACGACAGGATTAAATGGAGAGTAAAACTGAATTGATGCGTAATCCATCTTTAAGAGAAACAATCTTTTTGTGCTGGGTAAGATCGACAAGAACGCGATACCAAGCGTGGCTTTAATTCCAAACTTGTGTCTTCCGAGACATAATCTGTTTTTCATCGTGTGACGTTTTGCTTACTATTGAAATATATTATTCCCAAGTTACGCTCGTATAAATTATATTTTAATAATTTGCAACTTATTCACACGTTTCGTCTATTGTAAATGTTTATTAGAATTCCCCTCTATTTTGCAAGATTAATTCAAGAAAACAAAATAGATGAAAATATTAATTTTCATCACACTTTTTTATATTTTAGTTTACATTTATAAACAAAATATAAACCCTGGAACACACTTAAACACTCGTACATAATTTCGACATTATTGCCATATACGTCACTCTATTAAAAAATTACTTCAAGATATATTATGTAACAAATTTCAAATGAAAAAAAAAAAAAAAAAATTAAGAAAAGATTATACATTTAAAGTGACGGCAATTCTAAACTTTCTCCAAAGTGTTTTCAATCCGATTAGTGTTCCAAGTTAGTGTTAATCTGAGTCACTTTCGTGCTTTCGTTAAGCGTGGACTCAAAGACTGGCTGAGCGAAACTTCTCGAAACACATCGAGAGATTTAAAGAGATAACGATGACTCCGTCGCGCTGACGTTTGTGTTCTAGGCGCTCGGTCAGGTGCGCGCCAAGCGCATAGCAAAGACGCGTAAACAATGGTACGAGATGATTGTGCGCAGCTGTTTGCGCGCGGGTGCGTCCGAGTCTGACGGCGGCGAATACGCGAGGAGAAAAATTACATAGTAATACATCTCCGTCCTTTTCTCTCTCTCTCTCTCTCTCCCTCGGGCAAGAAAGGGAGAAGCTGTAGTGTATACAGAGTGCGCGAGTTTACGAAGAACACTTTCGCGTTATGCATTTATACGCGTCGACGGCGAGCGACGAAGGGCTCGAGACTCTCATACGCACACACGCACGCACACAGGCACGATAAAAAGAGAAACTCACTCCAGAAATAATGCACAGTATCCATCCAAGCCGCGGTGGCGAAGGTGGGATGTTGCTGCCTCCTGAGTTTATCGAAGCGCGTTTAACAGCGATCGTACAATAAAACGATACAGAATGTCACGTTCCCACCGCGCGACGATGCTGACCTCGTCGTCGTCGTGGTTGCCGTCGTGGTCGTCGTCGTCGTCGTCGTGTTTCGCGACGACGACAATGCACTACCAACACTCTCGTCGTCGACGACGAGTTTTCCTTTCACCGTTTCTTCACCGATTCCTCGCGGAATTTCACGTATTACCTCGTCGCGTCAGCAGTCTCGTCCTCGCGCACGAGAGGATTAACCGGGCTCCTCCTATCCTCTTCTCGCACTCCGTCAAACGTTCGCCGACAAATCTCGTCTCGACGACAGATCCGTCGCGCGTCGCGTCGCGACACTTCCCGCGTACATTACCCCCCCGCGCACGTTTTTCTCCGCCCGCGTGAACGCGATTAAAGAGTCATACGGACGGGAAACGGAGCGAGGAATGACAAGAATGCCACCGCGTGAATTTTCCGTCGTATACGTTATGTACGAGGGACGCGAGAGACGTACACTCGAATCGCGATATCGCGTCTAGGAGGTGAGATAATCACGCCGGTATACCCGCGGGAACGTCAACTCTCCGCGTCGCGTGCATTCGCGTGCGCGCGCGCGCCCCGACACTTTTCAAAACAATATACAACCAACACCAACCAGAGCGCGCGTCTCACCCCGTAGTACGTGTGCTCGAGCTTGAAGCGTTTTCTCGCGTCACCGCCGCGGCCCCTTTCCGTCTCTGTCTCTCGCTATCGCCTCCCCCCTCCCCACCGTCTCTATCTCTCTCTTTCTCCCGTTGCCTCTATCCCCCCCTTCTATCTTCTTCTCTTCCAGCCAACGGCGGTTTTTCCGCACGCACACGCCGCCGCGGATCAATAATTCACCATACGAATTCACCAGAAAGCGGGCGAGCGAGCGAACGGGTGAGAGCGGACGACGCGACGAGCGTGCGGACGGGCTGGCGGACAAGCGACTAGGCGGTGAGCAGCACGCGTTTCTGTCACGACACGACGCTGCCCCGCGCTCGCGCGCCGAAACAACGAGGAAACGCGCACGCAGCCCACACCACCGCGACGAACCGCGGAGAGGAGAGTCACCCTAACCTCCACGTCTGGGTCGCGTCTCTCTCGGCGCCGGGTCGGATCAGATCGGATCGCGTTGCGTTGCGCTGCGCTGCGCCGCGCCGCGCCGCGCTGCGCCGCGCTCGTGCGCGCGATTCGGAACGGGAGCGTGTTCCCGGTAGCGCACAGCTGACCCGAGGACGACCCGCGCACTCGTAAACGCGCGACAACTCGAGATGGGACTGCTCGGACTCGCGGATGCTCGACGTAAACAGCCCTCTGCCGGAACGCACGCACCGGTAAAGAGAGAGAGAGTTTCTCCAAAGCGGCCAACTTCGCGCCGGTGAATCGTTTTTCCGTCGCTCCCCCCCTGATTTTCTTTCCCTTTCCCTCTCTCTCTCTCTCTCTCGGAGGATCGCGCGACTTTCTCTCCTCACCTGCGCATCCCTTTCCATTTAAATTCGAAACAACGGAGGGCTAATTAAACGCGAGGACGCCCCGGAAGTTAGCCGCGGGAGCTCGCGACAGGCGAGTCGAACGTGCGTGAATATCGGTCGCGCAACGGATAATAACGGCGTCACGCGTTCACTCGTTCACTTGCTCACTTCGCTCGCTGAAACTCACTCTCACGCAGCACACGCACATACTCTACGTCGGTCTCTTTCTCTTACGTACACATGCACGCACCCTCGTCCGGCGTCTCTCGCTCCCTCTGTCTCGCTCTCTTTCGTTCGTCGTCCGTCTGTGACTCACTCGCTCACTCACTCTCTCTCTCTCTTTCTCTCTCTCTCTCTCTCCGCAGATAATATCGCCATCGTCGCTGCGGTCGGATTCGTTCCTTGCGCGGGCCCGTTGCGAGACGACGCCACCGTCAGGACAACACGGGCGTGGACGCCGCGCACTTTCGCGAACGGCGCTTCGGCATTATTTTGTATCGTGTACTTACCACTAGGCGAGCTGTGTGACGTGGCGGCGCACGCACGAGCACGAGGACGGCCCTTATTGTCGCGAACCAAATTCACACGGTGTTGTATTAGCGCGCAAGACTGTGCACACGGTAAATACGAGAACGGTCACCACTCTTGTTTTTGGTATGCCAGGAATGGCACAAAGAATCTAGACAACGCACACGCCTGCTGCGCAGCCGGTCTGCGCACACGCTGACACCGCTTACGCGGTCGCGGGAGAAACCAGAATCACGAGCGCGGCCGAGGAGCCCCGAGGCGGCCCGAAGCTGCGTCTCGCTCTATCCCCACTCTTGCGGCGGCTCACTCCCACTCCTCTCCGCTCGACCATTTGCTGTCCCCGTGCCCCGCGCTGCGAATCAGTCGCGTCACGCACGTAATGGAGGTAGGATGTCGGTGAGTTCGCTCGCTCGTCCGTTCGCTCTCTCTCTTCAGGAAACGAGGAGCACTTGTTGAATTTCAGGGGTTGCGTTTTAGGCTTTACAAACGAAAGCGGTAATAATATGAAAATGTAGCGTAGAACGTTTTAGTTTGAAGAGAAAGCTCGCGCGCGCGCTAATCATTTAATACATTTTTTTTTCATGCATTCTGAATATAATGATATTATATAAGCTATATCGTTGACCACGCGGAAAAATGTAAAGGATACTTTTTTTGTAAAGGATACATTTTGTGAATATATTTCCTATTATATGTATATATTTAGCACGCAGTTGTAATAATCCATGGAGCTTTCTCTTTTTATCTAGCTTTTACAATATTTTTAATCTGTTGTTATATATTGACATATTATTGCTATGTTTACATCAAAGGAGTTTATCGTATTTTAAAAACTAAACATCACAAAAGAGTAAATTAATTGATATTAAAATCTTTCTAATTTCTCCGAAATTTATGCTTATTTCAAGATGTAGAAATGTGTATTTGAAATGCTTCTTGCTTACGTCTTATTTTTTATAAAAAGAATAAATTTATGTACATGAGTACAATGGTACGGATAAATATGTATGAGTACAATGGTACGGATAAAGGACGGCTGATAATTATAAACTCCTGATAAATATAAACACAGTATTTATATCTGTCATCAAAGATACACGAAAAAAACTGAATCAAATTAATCAAGCACAATCGAGGATTGTATTTTCTTCGATGCAATCTATTTAGAAATGTTCGATTGTGATTGATTGGTTCACTTATTACTTACTTTTTTCGCGTATTTGAAATCTCTAAACAAGATTGTAAAACAAAAGAGTTATACAAATAACTTCAAAAAATTTTTCTCTACAAAACAATTATAAAAAGTTCAAATTTTTTTGTTTTTACGTAATATTAGAATTATTATAAAACTGTGTCCATCCGTAAATTTCAATTTGGCGAAATTAGTTGATGCCAAGGTGTATTTATATAAAAAATTCTCTTAAAAAAATATTAAAAATATTTTGATACCATTGGTTGTACATTGTTCTTCCTTCTCTTAAGAATTACTTAATGAAAACAAAAAAATTAACTGGAGTAAATTGTTATAAAGTCAAAGTAGAGAAATAAGCAAACCTGTTGTTATAAATACAATGTAATGGGATTACAAAAAGGTTAATGATTATAATTGATCGAATGACTTTCGTTGGTTATTTTATCGCGTTTTTTTAATTCGTATTTATTGAACTTCAATACTGTTGGATTAAACTTTTAAGACGTTACCTCGAAATAATACTTGATCTTGACCTTGATGTAGAAAAGACCTGCAATTTCAAGAAACAATTTAGAGAAACAGTCTACTTTGAACAACTTTTAAAAGGACGTTTTTATAAGTTCTTTTGAAGGAGTAGGAATCACATGTAATTGGATTTCTTTAAAATTTTACATGCTTATATTTGTTTATTAATGCTTAAAGAGATTATATATAAGTTTATATAAAATATATTTATTATTAAAAAAAAATTGTTTTCCTAATTTATTCAAGACAAAAATATGAAATATATAAAGGAAGATTTACGGTTTTCAAGATGACAGTACTTTAAAATTTCAAATTTCGTATTTTTAAATGATAATTTATTTTTATAGGCGTATAAAAATATTTGTGAATTTTTTAAAATTTAAGTTCTCTCTCTTTTTTCTCTCTCGAAAATTATGTTTGAAAAAAGAGTGGAAAGTTCACAAACCAATCAATTCGCCTTTAAAATATAATACACACCAACTTGAGAAAAGTTTTGAGAAAAATAACGTTAGAATTTAAAAAACCATTTAGTTTTAGGAACATCAAAATAGATTACATGAAAATAGATAAAAAGATTTCTTTCTACTGAGATTGTTTATATTAATTGTATTCACGATTAGTATATTTTTATCTCTACTTTTTTAAAACATTTTCTTCGATAATACAGTACGTAAAATGAATTATATATTTTCTTTATTTACATATATACGCATATCGGATTTAAATCCTCAATTTAATTTTTAATACTAAAAATATTTATATATATACAATTTTCTAACGCTATATTATTACATTTTCATCTTATATGATTAAATCATATAATATTTTCATATTTTCGCATATTATACTGCAGTTTTATTTCTATTTTACTTCTCGAAAAAGGTTTGCGTTTCTATAAAATCGCTTGTCCGATATGATGTAACTCAAAAACAAACACAAATGGTATTTCAAAAATGTTACATGGTATACAATAGCAGTATCGCAAAATGGAAAACACCGCAGATTAATAACGACGATGTCAAACAGTTCGCTCTCGCAAACCGAAACACGGTTCGCGTACGAAAATAATGCCCGGAGCTGTTAACTTTTGCGACTGGCACAAAGGCCCGGCCGTAATTAATGCCTTTAAACGTTTGCCGCGCAATGAGCTCCTTTTGTCAGTCGGTTGCATTGTGCCGCACAAAAGTTTACAAACGGGCCGGCAGCGCGACGTGGCAAAGCGCGACGCGATGCACCGCCGGGCTAAAATGAGACTTTTCATCCCCGCGCGTTGCATGTACATCTCACGGGGGTTGAACACAAGTGACGCACGGGGTGGACTCCGATTTCGCGCAACGTGCCTCTTAAATAGTTAATTATGTTAGCGCCCAGATTCCTCCCAACTCCGCTCGCGGATTGTTTCGCAGAGACACGTCGCTTTATTTAAGTCGCGATGTTCCGCGATGTAATTCTCACGATTACAAAGTATCAAGAATTTTTTACGAATATTGTATACTTTACTTCGAATATAGATTTTAGAAAAAAAAAGGAAAAAATAATTTTTATATTCGATGCCAAGTCAAGTTTAACAAGGCAATTTCCATCTTAAACTTATATTGAATTGTCGATCCTTCACTACAGCTATGATGAATTATTATGTTAGAAGCGAACAATATTATGTGAATCTTTTTATAAATTAAGCTTACAATTAGATTAATAGACGGTTGTAAATTAATTGCTGAAATAAGGCTTAGTATCGTTGAAGATATAGAAATACATGTAAATTAAGTGCATTTATTATGATACAGACTGATGGAAAAGAAATCTTATATTTTAATAAATTATGCCATTTATTTTGAGTATAAATAAAAAAAAATTATTTCAAATTTCAACAATGTGAAAAAACAATTCACTCAATTTCTCGCTTGTGATAATGTAATTCATACAGCTACAATGAAGAGGCAAAAACTTCAAACCTCGATGTTTTTATTGAGCAGTTTGATGAAAAAGTTATAAAAAGCTTGAAAGGAAAATCATATAATTATCAATTATATAAATTTATAGGAATCGTTGGCACAAATATCCTCGTTTCTGATGTCACAGTTTGAGAATAAAAATATGTAAATAATTCGTTTTGATATTCGCATTTCCATTGCCAATTAATTTTCTCGATCTTGATTTCGGTATAAAGCTATATTTGTTGACGTAAACTATATTTGCGGTATCGAAACTTAATCGCAACGTAAACTATATTTGCGGTATCGAACACTTAATCGCAACGTTTTTTACGATAAAAGATTGGTTACCATATAGTGCTCATACGCGTCATTGTTCTCTTTTTGTCATAAACTTGAGAGCATTCTGACAATTAAATAATGATAAAAATTCCATCAAACACTTAATTTCCAAAGCCGGTAATGCATTTCCTAACGGTTAATTAAAAGAGCCAGGGCTTTAGTAAGAGGGAAAAAACGATCAAGAATAAAAGAGAGAAAGAACGCAGGAAGACGGAGTTTATCTTGGTTTAATGCATGGCATATAGAATTTTGTTCGTAAGGAAATTGACATTATCCTTCTCTTTACATCCTACCACTTATTCGAGCTATTTTGATCCGGGTATAAGACTCGGCATGATCGGCATATCGCGATTCTTATTTAATGTCGATCGTAAAACTGCGGAACGCGGATTTGCGCGACAATATCGAAAATAATTAATTGAAAAGCGTGGATACAATGCTGACAGCAATACGGAAAGAGAAAATAATTGTCTTTCAAGTCAAGTTTGCACCAATCAACCGTTACGTCACTACATAATCGTTAATTGCGACGATATATAAAAATATATGTGTATGTATATATTTATTTTTTTTTTACTCTCTCTTTCTCTCTGTCTTCCTGTATCCACGTGTCGTGAAAGAAGTGTTGCGCGCGCAATTTGCGCGTTATGCAACGATGCACTTTGCATTCAGCCGCGTTTGCTGACTTTACTTGGAAGATGGTTGTAGGTTCATCGACACAACGCATCGCGACGACACTCCGCACTTGACTCCTGCAAGAAATCTGCAGCGTCGTCGAGTCGTCGTCGAGGCATCACGAGCGTCGTTCTGCACGAGTCAGATATATGTTTGCGAAAAATACATGAATTAAAAAGGAATCGATAGAAATTCATTTTACGAAATTATAAATTTTCATAATTTTTTCGAAATCGGAGATTGACTTTACATAATTTTCGTCAACTTTCTCTCTTTCCGGTCTGTTTTTTTCTTCTTCGCACATTTTAATCCACAAAAGAGACGAGTAGAAGTAAAACAAAAAACTCTTATTCTTATATATCGTTAAATGAGATTGAAAATAGGAATAGGAAGAAATCAAAGATTTTTCAATAAATCCTTGATTCTAAAATATTGTAATATAATTTTTATAATTCATATAAATTAGAGAAAAGTCATAAAATATGACTTGGTTACTTAAAAATATAATTTACAGTGGCTGTCGACACGATATCATCTCGTACGAGATGCATTCATTGTGCATGTATTATATATACGTGGGTGTATATGTATGTTCGAAGTTGTATCTGATACGCAAACAGCTAATCCTAGTTCGCGTCTAAGTTCGTGACATCATAACAATGCTCAGATGGACATCGCATTAGCCGGTGCAACTTGCTAATTGTAACCGTAATATCATACCCAAAATCATAACCATGCACGATGCTCTTGTTCCGCAAAATCACAAAAAGTTTTAGCATCGCACACAACTGTTATTTACAACTACAGTCACTGTTTGAACTTGCCATATTTAAAATGGATAACATTCTCAACTAAAAATAACATTTTAATGATTGAATGCAATTGATAATGACATATAAAATTACGATATTGTATTGTTGCTGCAAATTTTTGATGGAAATATTTTCCTCGCATTTTTCGACGATATTTTAGCGACGACGAGGTAATTTTATTGTTAGTTTTTGCGACACGGCGTCTTTCCTCTATCGGCATCACTTTTATTTAAAAGGGGGAAAATAAAAAAAGAGTAGAAGAGAGAGGGTGGGAGGGGAGAGAGAACGCTTTAGATCTACCTCATACCAGAGCTACGCGTCGTCCTCATAAACTTCGAAAACATTTCTTATAAACGGCAGATATTTCGCAGAGGTGAGATTCCTGGCAGGTCTTATCATGGCAGAGATTTACTCGCAAGGACCGTCAGGTATAAAGTATTAAAATATCACGCGAACGGCGCATTCGAAAATTCTTGCTGCACTTAAAAGCAGAGATGTTGCTCTCGTAATATAAAGATTTTTTCTTTTAAACGGAATCGCCTTGTGGCAAATGACATTAAAAATTACTTGTTGTGTTTTATTTAAAGACTCTTAAATAAAGTATACTGATAGATTCTTATTCTTTTTCTCTTATATTTCCTTCACAAATTTGTCATTTTATTTATTGATATGACACAATTATTTGTGTTTATATATTATTTTCATCAAAAATAATCTAATTTTTGGTGAAAATAATTTAATGTAAATACAAATAAAAATCACAATGTAAAGTGCAATAGATCTATTATGTATTTTTTTTTGTTTCTTCATGTATATTCTATTATTTTAACAATTATATAACGGATTTTTTAAAGAAATTTTTTAATTTTTAATACAATTCTCCATAGAAATCTAGATAGTAAATACAGAGAAAAAATTTGTTGGGAAAAATTGTAGAACAATTTGAGAATAAATTAATAATTTCAAAGAGTCAAAATTTAGGATTCAAAAATTGCAAAAAATAATAACGTAATCTATAATCTAATCGCCTAATCAAATCTTTATTTGAAAAAATATTGAACCTACTTAAGAAGAAAAATTGATACATGAAAAAAAAATCGTAGGGAGTCTCTAAGATTTCACTCTACGCTTCTTCGATTGAGATTTCACATAGGGATTGAACAGACTTGAGCAAGTTTGCACGAGCAGGGATGCGTGCGACGTGCTTATTGTATCCGATCCTGTGTAAACGAGGACAAAGCAACGACGGAAGAAGACGCGGGGGAGATGCGACGGAGCAGGGCGGGTGCGAAAGGGTCGAAAGGGGTGAGAAACGGTAGGAAGCTGCTGAAGGAGGAAGGAGAGGAGATGGGAAGGTGAACGCGTACCTCACCTGGCATACCGGGAGAGTATCGCGACACATTTTGATCGAATTCTTCTCGAGGTCGGGGAATGCCGGTATCTCCCGTAGATATTATTACATATTTAGGCAGTGCTCGCGCGGCGAGCGAATCTCTCTCTCTCTCTCTCTCTTTCCCTCCCTCCCTCCCTCTTTCTCTGTCTCTCTTCTCGCTTCGGAGAGTTAATACACTTAGAGAGATGTATTCTCTCTTTCCTCTCCTCTCTCTCTTTCTCTCTCTCTCTCTCTCTCTCTCAGCTGCGGAGCGTACATATCTGGTTCACTATACTTGCGCCACTGCTGTATCCTCATAGCTCTCTCGCTCAGACTTCGAAGGATCGCAGTTCTGCGCGATATCCTGCATATCTCGGCATACCGTCCCCGTCGTTTCCGACATTGTTCCCTCGGCCTGCCCCCGCCCGGCCCCCGGCCCAGAACCCGGACGCGGAATAATCCCACTCGTTCGACGTCTACCGGGCCCGGCTTCCCGACCGGATTCCAGTCGATTCTGGTACCGAGCTTGTGCAGGGTGAGAAGCCCCGGCATCGGGCATGATAATTGGATGCTTTTCCGCTCGCTCTTATCCCCCCGCGTCGCCGTCTCCGAAAAAGCGCGAGGAAGAACGTACGAGCTTATTAATAGAGCCCTTGAAAAAGCGCGTCACGCAAGCCGCGAGTATAAGAAAAGCTGATGCTGAAGAAAAGAAGGGCGGGAGAGATTCGTATCTTACGAACATGGATGCCGGGAAAACTGGCATCCATTAAAAAAATTCATTTTGAAACTATTCGAGATTTATTCGATTATCAAATTTAAAAAATCCTTCGGTTTATAGATATTTGTAATTATTAGCTATTAAAAAAAATATTTTTTGTTTATATATTTATAATAACAATGTAATATAAAATATAACAATGCAATATAAAATATATAAAAAAAATTGTAAATATATTTAAAACAGAAGTCGTACACCACCACCACTAAAAAGTACATGTATTATAAAGATATGTATTTTTTTAAACATTTTACGAGTTATATTTTTTAATAGGTTTTTCCATACCAAGCTTTGATGTAATTTCTAATTAAAATTTTTCGTAAGTCTATTTAAAGATTATGTGTAACGCAAAATTTGTATCAGATCTTTTTGAAAGGATTTACAAGACGGACCGTATGTGATGATCGCGCGTTCACGTCAATACTCCGGTAACATTGTTTATTGAATATTCAATGTCCAGTATCCGATCCCCGGGAGAACGACGACCATAAGCGTTGGATTCTATTAGCAAACAGTCACGAGAACAATGATGCGTCATCGATGCGATTCCGTCGATATACAAGCGGCGAGTCGATGATCGAGCCCGATAAATGCCGGCCACCTTCCTTCGGCACATTTCACGACGAACGTCCGTCTCGGGATACTATTCGCATATCTAAATCCATAGAACGTCCTGGTCCGCACAATTCCCAAGATTGTTACCAGTCCGTAGGACCACTTATACTCCTTCGTGCCCGGTCCTTAATTTGTCGGGAATACATCGTCCGTACGTGAGTTAACAATGTCAAGTTCGAGACATTCGATAAAGGTCTTTTAACCTTCAGTTATTATGCCGGAGCGAAATCTTTCCCTGGGATGAAAAAAATTATATTTCAAAAGAATTCAAAATAATAAAGCGTAATTTGCTCTCTTCCCTTCAAAGTTTATTGCTTTTCTGAATTCTCGTCATGATTTTACGTGTGTTTTTTTTGACAAACTATATTTATATATTTTTTAACACACATATATAACAGCGATTCAGAATACAATTAATATCGAGAATATTCCGATCAATATCTCAAACATTGACATTCGTACAATGCGAAACATCTAGATTCAAGAAATGCATATCGAGAAAAACATGTCGGATGCCAACGAGGATTTGTTTAACGCATTAGCATTATTGCATTCGACCGATGAAAATAGTGGCGAAAAGCTTCGTCGAATGCTGGACGCTTGTATCGAAAAGAAATACGGCCCCGGTAAAACTTTGGCTGCTAGAATGCCGAGAAGATTTTTGCAAAATACTGACAATGCTTCGAGAATCTCGAAGAAACGCGACTACGTCCAAGGACGATGCGTCAAAACGGTAAAAAATGAAACTTGGGACGATCCAGAAGTCATCTCTCTTCTGGAACCTGACACAACGGAGAACATGATGAACTATCAAACAACTGACATAAAAGTGTTCAATTACGAGGATTCCTGCGACGATCAGAACGTCCCCAGGATCTCGATTCCCGACGAAGGATCCGTCGATGGAACCCTATGCAAGGTTTTTTCCTCAATTAAACTTTCGCGATCTAGTTTATAACTTGTAACTTACACGAAATAAAATAATTGGTTGTTGCGATTGTCATTGCACGACCTAACGCACGTTGATTTACAACGAATTGTGTATATCTGTGTACGGTGTGCAAAATCCAAGATTTGCAATGGCGCAAAATTGGGAGCTTTGATTTTACTGGAGTGTCAAGAGTGTCAAGAGGCTTATCATCCGCTGTGCCATCAACCTCCGGTCATCGATATTGACGTTTACGATCCTAGATTCGTATGGCGATGCAAACGATGCGCGGAAACGTCGTCAGCGATCTCTACAAAAGTTAAAATTTTGGAAAAGAGATGCGTAGGAAAAAAAATTCGGAGAAACGATGATATGATCAAAGGGAACGCAAACATTTCGGGATTGAAAATGTCTGGAACAAGAGACGGTAATCTATCTGAGAAGAATGGTACGTTAATAGAGAGATAGATCTAATATGCATATATATTGGCTTTAATAAATTTTTATTTCTAAATCATACTTCATCAAACTTTTTTCTATTAATATTTTAATTATCTTTTAATCAGCGAATATAAATGTATAAAAATATAGAAGTTCTCGATGATAAATGTTAAAATTAATAAAAATATTATTATATATTTATTTCAATGTCAAAGAGAGTCGATGACTTCTAAATGATAAATAGCTAAAATATCAAAAAATAATGTCCAATCATGTTTTGTACAAAGTAATTTTAATACTATAAATCAGTAAAAAATTTATGTCCGAGAAAAATTGTAAAAAAATTGCTTATAAAAAATAATAACAAGCATACACGTTACTGAATCATGTATTTTTAAAATATTTTCATTTCGTACAAATGTGTTCGAATATCACATTTATGCATTGCGTATCAAAAAGTCTTGAAAAATGTAACGTAAAAACTTGACATTGATAAATGAGTTTTTAGGTAAATACAGAATCTGTTCCATTCAGTGACATCAAATGCTTGAAAATCTTCCTATTTAGTTCGATTGAACTTTTCGATTAATGTATAAAAATATGTTTATAAAAGAAAAATGTACTTACAGATTCGCGAGCAGAAAATAGACGCGTGCAGTTACATGATTCTCTATTATTCACAAAGGATTTAGCGAATCTCTCGCAAAGAAATGGAAGTCTATCATCCTCTACACAATCACGAAAGAGAATCGGATCTAAACTCTCCGTTACTCGTACTTCGATTAAATGAGAGAAACGTTCACAGATTTGATGTTTGTTTTATATCTTATTAATAGTTAATTATGGATATTAGAGATATTAAATATGACAAAATATTACTACAATAATTTTGTATAAAAATAAAGAATAAAGCATAGATTTTTGAAGAACAATGTTCGATAAGTAAAAAAAATATACATTATTATAACTATTGTTTGCATTGCGTTTATGAATAAATATATTACAGATTGTTTAATGATGTATGATATGCTTGATTGATACTTAAATATTTGAACTCTAATCAAAATTATGTATATAAATATATATATATATATATATATATATATATATATATATTTCAGTTTTGTTTTATAGTTCCTGAAAGAATAGATTATTGCAGATTATTTAATCAGATTAATAAAAACACATTGTTGGTTGTGTACGGTAATATTTACTTGACAATCGTTCGCGATACAAATAGAAATCATTCTTGTTCTGATCGAAATCAGTGTTGTAACCCGTTACAAGTCATCACATACACAGAAACACTTTTAATCACAGTATAGGGCACTGACCCTATGAACCGATTACAAGAAATATACACTATATTACAGCGGTCGTGTATTCGTCGGAAATACAGAGCATCGGAGTGAATATTATTACATAGTATCGATGTCCGTATTGTGTAGGAAAATATAGCTATTTCGTACAGTGATGTAAAATCAGTGAATGAATCGCATGAACAGAATGCTCGAGCTTTCGTCCAAGTTTAGATACAGCCGAAGGAAATGACTTATTAATTACTTATAGATAGATTTGGTTATACAAGAGAACGGCGAAAGAATTCTCATTCATGTCGCACGATAGCCATTTAATCGCTCCAGTTTATTCTCTTACATTAAGGTCAACAGAGTTCAATTACCTTCGGCAATGCTGCAAATTTCGGTTGGATTTGAGGCTCGATTAATTCTCCCAATGATTTATGATACATAAGATTGTGATAGAGATAAAAGAGCTATCAGAGACGTCGGATGTAAGTTTGCCTCCCACAGTGCGAAATTTTTCAAGATTTGTTTCAAAATTTGCCGTAGAATATAACATACATATATACGCGTGTGAAAAAATTTAATAAGTTGTATAATGTGACGCAAATTCAATATAGTTTTCTGATAAGATTTCACAAAATCAGAGATTAGATTAAGACTAGATTATAATATTAATTAACTAGATTTATTATTCTCTTACTAGATATTTACTGCATTTGATTAGTTAATCGTCTACTTCAATAATATAAGTTATAATACGTAAAGATACAAATTCACTACTCGATTCGTCGTTAAATATGAGAGTAGATACTTCGGGAAAATGAATTCTGTGATAATATACAATCAAAATTGTTGGCATGCATAAAATATAAATAAAATACAATATATTTTGAATAATCTGAAGAGAAAAATAAGGCGATAGCAACATCACACATCATTCCTAATCGGGTTAATAACTAGTTTAATAACATCCAGTAGTTCTAAAACTGGTCAATCATAATTATTCCTTGAAAAATGGAATGACTTTGGCCAATCATAAAACTTATAAATGTATTATTAAACTTGAATAAAAGTGACACATAAACATACATATATGAAAATATTATTTTAAGAAGAAATAAAAACTTGCATGTGAGTGTAAAGTGGAATATAGCAAAGTTGTTTTCGCTTATTATCACAGAATTGTCAATTACCCAAAATAATACATCGACTAATTTTTTCCAGTGAGATCGTAGCACTTTGACATAATTTCGATATATATATATTATATATATATAATATATATATATATATATATATATATATATCATGTAAATTAGAAAAAAAATGTTTCAGTAGCAAAATGATTTCGAAAAATACGGGTCGCAGAAAAATAGATGCGACTCGATAGTGAATATTTATGTAAACATTTTTTGCTTTAAATCTGTATTTAAATTGCCATACTAATGAACGAAAAGTTGTCATGCCATTTGTTTAACGTACTGTTGATATCCTATCCATCATTTATACAAGATATAATTGTACATCATGCTAGCATTATTTACAGCAAAAGGAGAGAGAGAGAAAGAGAAAGGGAAGAGACAGAGGGGAGGGAGAGAAAGGAAGAGGGAGAGAGAGGAAGAGGGAGAGAGAGAGAGAGAGACAGAGATAGAGACAGAGAGCTTCGAATATGATAGAAATTCTTGATAGATATGTTTAGTCATTATCGCCAATGTGTAAAAATTCATATGACGAAATTTTTACATATGTGTTTTCAGAACTTTCATCCTAAGAAGATTCTATCATGTGTATAAAGAATAAAAATATATTTTCAGAAAAAAGATAACACAGTACAAATAATATGCTTCACACCTTTTAACGCTTAAATTTGTTCCTCGTTAGGTTTTTCAAATCATTCTGAGTATGCTGATATCTTAACAATAAATTTATGAATATAGATAAATTGCCGCATGTGCAATTTATCGAGCGTAATCACAAAAAATCATTGTTGCTAAATAAATGTTTAGCACACAGCTCTCTTTGGAAGCATTATTTTGCAATTTCAATGCTTGCAAAATTAACATCGGTGGGATTGTAGCCTTTTCATCTTTTATTAATACGTGACTTATACACAAACAAAAAAGATTAGCACAAGATAAACTTGATTACCAAAATTCTTCGTTTAATATTATTATATATAGAACTTATTTCTGCAAGCTAACGCTATATTTCTATAAAACAGACTTTTTTATATGCTATTAATTTCTACTTAGATGGATATATATGAGACATTTTCAATATAACTTCTGACTCGCGTATTCGGTACCCATTAACCAACATATGCATTAAAAGATACATCAGAAATCACATATTTTTTCAATTATCTTAAAAATTCAAAGAGAATTTCTTGTGCAAAAGTTAGTGCCTAATTATAGAATTATTTGAGAACATAAAGTTTCAAAAATAAATGGCTCACATCGCAACTTTAATTAGATAATTCAGAAGTGAAAATTAATTTTAAAAATTTGCTTGGCGATCTCTGTGTGTGTGTGTGTGTGTGTGGTGTGTGTGTGTGTGTGTGTGTGTGTGTGTGTATACATATATATACTCACATGTACATATATACGTATATACTCCGAGAATGTTAACGTAAGCTGCGATCTATTAGGATGAATATGTTCCACTTTAATCAATCCAATCCATATTGATCGATTCCGCGATTCTTATTTCTTTACCGGAATAAAAGATATAATGTAGAAAAGATTCTCAATTATTGTTGCAAGTATTTGTAAAGAGCAGTGATCGTAAGTGATTGCTCAACGAAACGTAAAATACAAGTGATTCATTAAAGAACTTGGAAGATTATTTATGTGCGCAACGCTTTCGTAAAATTCGACGATATATCTTTAGTGCATCACTTGGCACAGATTAGCATCCGATAACGGTATCAATATGTCAAATAAGATTATGAATGTACTCATTTTTATATCGTGATAATGATATAAAATTTCACGTATAATAGGAACCGTCAAGATGTTACGCTCGGGTGATTAAACATCGTATTCACATTCGTATTCATGTATGCAGAAAAACAAGAAAAAGCGCTACTCCATTGTAATAATTACAAGACTATTTAAAAGCTCATCTCCACGTGATTATTTATGATAAATATATCGTGTATCTAGCGAAGAATAGTGTTCATTTTTCCATTTTTCCTTTTATCAATTATATAAGAGGAATCTCAACGAAAATTTATCATATCAAAATATGCTATAACGTTCGTGTGTAAAAATGTGCAAAAATGATGATGATGATGAAACCATTAAATTGCGAGTGCTATCTAGAGTCACATTGAAACTACTCGGCCTTTATAACGAAATTCTAAAAGATATCATAATGTATAATTTGCTTATTATAAATACACATGTAATAAACACTACTTTGCTTATGAGTACAAATATCAAGAGATATTTCGCGCAAATTCTTTCAATATTATAGACTTGGCTGTTCTCTTTTTAAATTCCGCGATCCTATTCTCACATATATGAAATTTTACTTCGACATTTAGTGCAATTTTTTTGACTGAGGGACATAGACAAGATTTCCGGAAATTACTTTATGAAAGTTCTACTCTACATAATTTCTAATAATACTTTTGAATAACAAATTTTACTCGAGTTTCTTTGTAATGTCTTGCTAGATGTCTTGTTTTGTCGAAAATTACTTGATAAAATTTATTTCAAATATCCGTTATTCAAAATGATAATGGATTTTGAAATAACAAATCATCAAAGATTCAATATTTAATCAAGCTATTCAACAATATTCATAAATCATTTCCAACGATTAAAAATTGTTAAAGCTTAAATTTTAAATTTTGTTCAAAAACCGTATACATTTATTTAAACAAAAAAATGTACGGGGGTTTTAATCATAAAAATTTCATAGAAACTTTTGTTTTTAACATTTATCTTATAAACTTTGCGTGAGAAATTTAGATCATATCTCTTGAAAAAAGCTGGTCCAAATGTAATCCCCGTTTAAATACTTTAATACAATGCGACTGGTTTAATTATTAGTGTCTGGATAATTGCTATACTATCGGGACTATCGTATACTACATACAAACATAGGAGTGATTATCCTACGTTTGCAGTACAATAATACTAAACAGAATAGCTCCTGAATATTAGCTGATTTTACTACTCAACATCTATACAAGATTAATCTCTTACAAGGTGAATAAATGTAAAATTTCTATCGTGTTTGCCAACAAGATACAATTGTACATCTTTGAAATAATTCACAAAATTCTATACATATATAATCATAATTAGATCTCAAATCCATTTCATATAACTTTGCATTATACAATCTCAACTTATGACATGACAAATAAGAATAGCGTAAAGCGAATGAAATGTATCGCGACTAGAATTAATGTTTTGACTAGAAATCTCACCTTGTAAAAGTCTATAAAAAGATTCAAAAGTAAATTTTTAAAGTAACCTTATACGATGCGGTAAAAATATACAATTTACACTAACATTAAATGTTGTTTGTATGTAGGATACTTTTTAAACTAATGTTTACTGTTAATGTACTATATTGCTAACTGATATTAAAAGGCCGTTACATATTTATCGTTTTAAAAGTAACCAGTGCCACACTTTTGGAAGCGCTAGATTTTTCTATTTCATTTTTTTCACAAATTAGATATCTCCTTACGTTCATAAAAGTACTAAAAATTGATATTATATCAATTTTTGTAGGACAATATAAATGTAAAAATAAATATACAATATAATGCATATATATATATATATATATATTATATATATATATATATGTATTATATTGTATATTTATTTCTACATTTATATTGTCTTACATATGTGTAAAGTATTTTGCTTTTTTAAAGATCATGAGAAGCAAATTACATTAATCTCACAATAGAACACATTGTAATTTTTATAAAATATCATAAAACTGAGATAATCATGATTCTATGTATTGTGAATTGTGCCAAATGTTTACCTCTTGAGAACCATGATTTATAGCACTTCCATGCAGAGGCAATAGGCACTTTAATATGACAATGAGAATGACGAATTATCTTAAAAAGGTTAATCTATTTTCGCGGCAGGTAAATCGTGACCTACGACCAGTTGATCTTTTGGAAAATCCAAAACAACGTGATGTGAAATCCCATATTGCAAAAGCTATCACATACTCACATAGCGAGAACCAACTAAATGCTGCCCAAAATAATAAATATTAAGTTGTTTTTATTTTTTCTAACTTTTGTTAAACTAATATAAATGTAATATTTATGATTTTATTTCTTACCCAAATCGTGACACAGCAGCCGATGTTTCAAGAAGAAGATAATAAGACCAATTGTACTGACGAGACTTGTCATAAAAAGCATCTGTTTGTACTGAAGGCTTTGTGCATTTGGAGTTACTAGGCGACCCAATCTTACGGCAATCAGCATGTATGTGAGCGAACTAATCATGAACACTATGAAAATTTTTTCGTGTACCGCTGTAATATTTTTATCTTATTTTAGTTAAGCAAGTCCATTATGTTTAATATTTTTGATTGTATTAGTAGCACACGTAGATATATGAATTTTATATAAATTACTTACAATAATTTCCCTGTTAGAAATGTATGTTACACCACACAAAGCTGCTACCTCGGCAATATTTAGCCAATAGCATAAATTTAGGAGCCTACTTCCCATAATTTTTAGAGGCACATCTTCAATGTTCTTAAGTATGTTGTAATAATATGAATGATAAACACTGGCAATAATCAGTCTAGGTCCAATGTGTAATGCTATGCTGATACGCCATAGATACCTCTGAGAGGATACTCCAGTAATGGCTGAGATTGATGGAAGAATATTATAGACCTTTAATAAAAAAATAAATATAATTTAATCAACACATATTGTTTATTTATTATCATATGTGATAAAATTTTGCACTTACCCTACAATGAGTTTCGTGAATGTCATCCTGTTGGAATATATATGCCGTAACGAAACAAAACAACAATGATACAAGTGGTAAGCCAACTGTTACCAGACATAATTTTCGAAATGATAGTGCCAGATATATAGAACTTCTGTTGCTTCCCACATTATTCAGTTCCATATTAGCAGTGTTGTCTAACATCTTGGCATTTGTGCGCAAAGAAACGACATGTAACTCAGAGCCAAGCCCAGTTAGACAATTGTGCGGCGTAGATACATGATGCTCTCCAGCTTTCAACTTATTCCATCCTTGATATTACTTTACGTCCATAATAATCCTACGAAAAGAAATCACAAATTGCTTCATTCCACAGTTTTATCAGATTTCATCTCATTAATGATATATTATGATTAAGGAGCTCGTTTCCGAAAAATTTAACACTTTGTATTCGCGAAAATGCGAGATCTAATTGCGAAGGAAACGATATGTTCTATAGAAAAACAAAAACGGAAGAGCATTGTGGAACTTATTAAACATAAATCCGTTCAATGAATGCATTGAGTGAATTGATGACTATGTACCCCGCCTCTACCTTATCACCTTAATTGCTTAATAAGAACGTGGGATTTAAAGATGCGAAAATCAAGGCAAATCATACACTTTTCTCATTAGATACGCGCCGAGAGTGTGCATCATTTTCCAACATCTCATCAAAAATTCGCAGAATTTGATTACGTTACATATAACACGCGCGTCATATATACATATAATATATATATATATATATATAAAATATACTATATATATACTAACATATTAATAATAGCACACACACATATATTGATACGAGACGTTAATTCCATATTTTCATTGATACGACATTCTGATATTATTTTCATTCTTGTGATGGAATGTTTTCAAATAACCTACTTGCTCCATAAATAGCAAGCGAAGGATGAAATCGACGGATGAAAAGTCCGCGGTTCCACATTTTACTGCGAACGATGCACCATGTTTTTAACTTTCGCGTTTTCCTTTTTTATCCGATAAAGGGCCGATATCGGTGAACGGCGGAAAGCGAAATGTCAACGAGCGTGACAATCTTGACGGATGCGCAATGTCGAGACACTGCAGATAACGCCCCGCTAATGAATCACGATCGCAATTTCGATTAGGAACGATAACTGTGACGGGCACAAGTTCGCGAGGAACGACAGCGATCCTCGTTTCGGATGATTGGCCGCGATAAACGACCGCGCGCAATTTACCCTTTTGTTTCTCACGTCACGATTAATCGTATCGTCTGCTACACAAATGTCTCGATTCTTCTCCGAGATACGCATGTATGTACCATCTGGGATTACGTCAGTTTTCCAGCTTCTTCCGTTTGGCGCTTTCGTACGCTCGCATTACGAGCGGAATTTTTGAACGCACATATGGCACATAACAGACACGCGCGAGCGTACAAATATATATATGTAAATATATTACAATATTCCTCTCTTTCTAATATTATTTAAGTATACGCGCAAGAAAATTGACTTTCGTCAAAATCCTGATGATCCAAGTATCTGGATTTGCGTATCATAACAGTAATTATTACATTGTTCCATTAAAAATATTATAGATATAAATGTTTGGATAATTTTATTATAAAGACATAATTATGATATTTACACAATTGTGCTATGCTCGGTTTTTTGTTGATTGTTTTCTTCTATTTCGTACTCGATTTCTACTCTTGGTCGCGATTTTTTCTGTACCTTTCCTTTTTTCACAACCTTCGGCTCTTTTGTTTTCTTGCTTGTAGATGGTTGGAATAAATCCTAGTGAGATATAAACAATTTATATCGAGATATAGCAAAAGAAAGCTTATTTCAGATAGAAAGTTCTTACTTCAATATCACTGGCTGCAGATTCAAAACTGTCCGATAATTCAACTTCTTCTTTCTGTCCAGAATCACTATCTTCATCCTACACAAAAAAATATGTGTAAAAGAGTTATTTATATTAAAATAAATAATCATTTTATTATATACCATAGAAATCATATATAGAAATTATATACCATAGAAAATTCTTCATCGTCATCACTATCAGCTTCAATATATTGCAGACCATCTTGCTCGAGTTCCCTCTCATCTGCTTCTAATTCCATTTCCACCTCCTTTTTCAAGCTCTCGCTCCTGTTCTTCGTCCTGTTCATTTTCTGCTTCACTTTCTCCTTCAACTTCAAACAGATTCTACTGCTTTATCAAACACTTGTTGTGGAAAATTGTAAATACCCTCGTACTAAAAGACCAAAAAAATTATATTTCCGAAATATAATTAATTTCTTATAACAATAAATATAAAATATAATGTTACCACTCCCTTCTTCAGTCTGTCCATAAGTTGCTTCTCGATTGCATTTCTAGTCTTGCAGCAATTAGAGCTTTTTCTTCCCTACGTCTTTCTCTCCTTTCAATCTTTCTCTGAAGTGGTACAATCTTCTTCTGCCGTCTTAACCTGAATTTTCTCATACGAATGATATATTGCGTGATCTTGAGAAATCTTTGCTTACATTTTGCCTTTATGAAACCAGGCCAATAGAGTAGATTCTCATTAATTTGTTGTATTGCCTTCTCAAAATTCCTAGATAGCTTAACTTTTTTCCCAGCTATTTTTAGGTGTATGTATCCTAATAAAAAAAATATTTACATATATAAAAATATATATATATACAAGCGTAAACAGTATTGCAGTTCTATTCATGTTGAAATAAAATATAAATCTTTTGATAGCACTTCAATAATTTATAATTCTTGTCACCAAATAATTCATATGACTTATCAAGAAGAATGTCAATTATATAAATATAAGTATGAAAGATTTAAATATATTACAATTTACCTCTCCGCTGTCCTCATGTAGAGATAAATAATACCCTTTTCTTCTCTAATTGTAGCATACTGACTGTTTGCAAGAGGGCATGCAGCTCTACTGCATAAACCTGTAAGATGTACTCATTTCTGCAAAACCTCTGTGTCTTTGAACTGTAAAAGAAATATATATATTGACAACTTTAAGTTTCGTACAATTTTATATTATATAAATTTTATTTAAAATATACTTACTTTACTTTAAAAGAAACAAAATGACTTATTGATGACACTCCATACAACCTGCAAGATTAAGATAAATGTTTTATGATAATCATATAATGTACAGATATATACAAGAAAAAAGATTCGATTTAGAATTTTATTTACATCGTCGTGTTGCATTTTATTTCACTGCAATCTAACAACACAAAGTAATATTATAATTATCACGTTTATCAAAACACGTGCAAATTTACACCATAGAGGTGCTAGAGAGAAAGATGAGAGACTGGTCCGTTTTTAGGTTAGATAATTCCTGAAAGCGATGTGCCATCTATGGATATAAAACTTGACATGAACTACCGAAGCCAAATTCAATAAATATTCTCAAGGAGTAACATGTGCACTATTTCTGGTTGTGTTTCCGTGCTGTGTGCATTAAATGTAGATAACACGAGTATTGTAAGATAAAATGCTATGTATATTAAATAAATTTCTAATATAAATAAATTTTGTATGGTCTCTCTCTCTCTCTCTGCTATTAAATATATTATGATACCCGATATTTTAATCATACATCATCCATCATCATTGCCATTGTCATTATTACGTAATAGTTTTTCATATTTATTAATTTAAAAAATTTAATACAAAAAATATTCAAGTTTATTTCTAAAATATTAAATGCTAATATTAAATATATTAAATGTATATATTAAATAAATATTAAATTAAATAATATTATCAATATAAATATTAAAAATTAAAATAAAAAAATTAGCTCAAATAATAATAACAATAATAAATTAGTTCGAATAACAATAATAACAATAATAAAAAATTAATTAAAAAATTGGCAAGTAAGAGGCAGTAAAGCGCAGTAACTGAAACACAAAAAAACTTTTTTTTTCTTTTTAGTATATTTATTAGTATATTTCTTATTAGTATATATTTCCTTAAATTACTTATCATAAATCCATGCAATACAACACGAACGTTTCATATCTCTTAATACATTTTCAACATAACATTAATATAGGCGTTAGAAAATATTAGACAATAATATATAAAATTATATAAATCGTTTCACAATCGCGACATGCAGATATTATCATGCTATATTCGCAATTTATTTCACAAATTATTCGTTCGATAATTCCTTAAATATATATATATATATATATATTATATATATATATATATATGTTAACGAATTAATCGAACGAATGCATTCCGATTAATTCTTTTCGTTTGGTATATATAAATATTTAATTCACTATTCAACTGATTGGAGCTATTCCGACACGCTTTTATTGATATATATAAATATTACACTTAAGTGTGAGACCAAGAAGCAGATTTCGGATATTCACTGTAAGTCAGCCGCTCCTCGAGCGATCGGGACGAGATTTAAACGGTAGTGCCGCGAAATGCGTGTAGAATTTTATGCAAAAAGAATGAAATCGCTA